TATTAAAATATTTTATTACATCGGAGGGTGCCTTAAAACCACAAAATCAATTCAATTAACTAAAATAAGAATCTAAAGAACACTATTTTGAAGTTTTTAGATAAATTTTGCTCATCGGTGTTAACATGAATTTAGTTATAAACTTTTTAAAAAGTTGCTTAATTTACTACTGATCCTCGTTCTAATTGGTTCTGACGTATACTTACTATATATTGTTGTCAAAATACAATATTTCTATCAATTTTTACAAAAAATAGTAGAATTCCGAACAAGAAAGAACCAATATTTATGGAATATTATCAATAAACGATCAGAACAGATCATATTGTTAAACTTTAATGTTCATTTCACCTAAAAAGCGTATTAATTTAAGGTGGTGCTAGCCCATAAAAATTAAAACAGTCAATTTATTTAATTTTGATGCAATATTTTTTTAAAAACTGTGTGTATTAAAAAATTATTTAGAGCAAATATAATAAAAAGTATAATTATACTTAAAAACATGCTGAGTCAGCAAAAAATATGCAATTTTAACTGCATTTTCAAACAAGGATTTTTCATGAAATAGTAAGAATTTGACGCTAAAATTTTGCAAAAAGGTTAACAACATGTTGATTGAGGGATTTGACCAGAATCACCATCAGACCTTTTACTGAATGGCTGCACTTTAAAAAATAATTTTTAATTTTTATGTAAAATTTGTGCTGCCTATGTCAATATCTCGACAACAGCTAACTATAAAATTCTCTTTTTGGTCAAACCCCTTCGCAGTAACCTGATAAACAATCTGTGAAAATTTTAGCCATAATCTCCAAGTCGTTCAAAAGATATTCTTGTTCAAAGTTAAAAAATCTGTTAACAGAGAAAACGCAAGAAAACAAAATAAAACAACATTAAAAATATACAGTATGTGCCAAAATTGTCACCATGTTTGAACAAAAAAATATTTTATATATATTTCAACAGAAAAGCTGTGAAGAAAAATGAAATTTTAGTTTTATTAACTAAATTTAAGACTTAGCTAACTAAAAATATTGCTTTTTGTTAAATTTAGAAGGTATTAAATTTTTTAAAATTTTTTATGTGAAAAGCTAATGGTGACAATTTTGTCGCGAATGAAAGCAAATATCATATTTATCCACAGTAGATTAAGCATACGACATAAATTAATACCCTTATGACTAAAATGATTGAGTTATCAACGTTTCATAGATTTTTAACGATTAAATATCATTTAAAGTTTGATTTTGTTTACAAAACATAAAAAAAATATTGTTATTATCATCACGAGAAAAATAAATCTTGAACTAGAAAAAAATAATGTGGAAATACTTAATTCCGGACAATCTTATCGTGAAATCGCTGCTGAGTACGGAAAGTCTCATAATCTCATATATAAAATTAAATTGCGCAATAATTTAGAAGTAAATAAGCCTAAAAGTGGTCGAAAGATAATTTTTACACCAATAGACCAAAGAACAATCGCTCGTTTAATTGCTTCTGGAGGGTCTAAAACTGTAAAGGATGTTACTAATTTAATGAATAACAGCTATGGGACTCATACTTCAGTGTGGACAGTCAATAGAGAGCTCAAAAGAATTGGTCTTCAATCCAGAAGGAAGATCAAGGAGCCATTGTTAGTTTCTCGTCACCGCCAAGCTCGTTTAAATTATGCTAAACTTCATGCACACATGACTTTTGATGACTTTTATGACTGGATTTGAACAGATGAAAGTAAAACTAATATTTTTAGATCAGATGGTATAAGATATACTTGGAGATTAATATAATACCTAATTCACCATTAAGTGCTCGAGATTTTACACCAACCATTAAATATGGCGGAAAAACTCTTGTTTTGAGGATGTTTCTGTGCTCGTGGAGTCGGTGAATTAGTAAAATTAATGGAATAATGAACGCTGATGACTATATCAACATCCTTAAGCTTGGATATTTCAAGTTCTTTTGAAAATGGGGCAGAACTGTATGTAACACGATGTTCATGCAAGACAACGACCCCAAGCATAAGTCTGATAAGATCATTAAATTCCTTCACGAGAAGAAATTGAAAGTCGTTGACTGGCCGACACAAAGTCCTGATCTTAACCCACTCGAAAATTTATGGGCAATTGTTAAACAACGGGTCTACAACTTTCCTACTCCACCTAAGAATAAGGATGAACTTTGGGCTCGTGTACAAGAGGTTTGGTACTCAATTACACCCGAGGAATGCCGCAAATTGGTTGTTAGTGCTCCTGAAAGAATTCAATCTGTTATTAAATCTAAGGGAGAGTACACTCAATATTAATTTAAAATATGTTGTTTTATTTCATTTGCGATAAAATTGTCACCATTAGCTCTTCACATAAAAATTTAAAAAAAAATTAAAAATCCTCAAAATTTAATAAAAAGCAATATTTTCAGCTAACCTCCATTGAAAGATATAACTGCTGAGAAAACATCTAACTCTAAAACCCTTTTTGAAACAAAATGTGTTTTGGGGAATTTTTCCCAGATTATTTGATTAAAAGACTCATTAGGATTTTAGGTATAGCTGTGTAAACATTTTGACAAAAGATTGTCAGAACTAAGTTCCATAAATATTGGATGTAATAGGTTTTTAATACCAACTGGTAAGTTTAACTTGTTTTTATAAGTGCATAAGCCTGTAATCTTATCCCTTTGCCATTTGTACCAGCTAGTATTGGTTCTGGGACAAAATTGATGGTGCATGGCAGCATCACCTTCACAGCAATGTTATAAAACTGCAAGTACAGCTTTTTTCACAGGGTAGAGTTTATCATTCTGACGAATAGCCATACCAAAGTGATTCTGCATTAAATTAATACTTGCATCAGTAAGTCTTTCTTTACCTGAGAGAGTTTTACTGTCATCCAACTTTTTTTTTTTTAATGCACCTAGATTCTGAAGTCTTGTTCCAAGTCTCTTTTGAACATGACCGATACACTCTAGTTTTTCTGGTATCAAAGTTTCTCCATAAGGTCAAGCTTCTCTAACTTTGCTGTAGTATCCCCATCTCCTATGTAATGACTGTACCTTAAGTTAAACTTACTTAATGAAGAACAAAAAATTGAAATAGCACCAGCGGACTCCGTAACACCCGATGATTCGTGATGATTAATTACACACTTATGTCTTGTTTTCCATAGGTCATAATCAGCTGATCCTTTTCTTTTTGACCAAATCTTACAAGATTTACAAAATTTTGACATGGTGTGATAGTCTAAGACTTTTTTATTATCCTTTGAAATTGCACATACCGCGCCATTTAGGGAAGAACAACCCCTTTTTTGCCATATCCCGTCAACAGAAATATGTCAATAATTTCATTACTACACGCATTGATGTTAAGCATTTGACGCACTTCACGACCAGGTTTTTGGGTACTTTTTTCAGCAGATTTTTCATATACACAATAGAGTCTCATTAAATTTTTTTATACGAAGTAAATGCAATAGAAAATGGCATATTCATCATTATTGAAAATGTTTCAATACCAGCATGACCTTTACCCATCTCGCGAAAAGCCATAACTGCGCGATAGTTAATTTCATGTGCTTTTTTTACAAGTTTACTTTTTTGTAAAGGTTTGTAATTAATAAGAAGAAAACGAAAATCTGCATGCTGAACAAAAACTACATTTTATTCATAATTTATGTGAAAACCCTTAGTGTTCATTTTCAATATGTGTAAGCTTTACAGGTGAGCTACACTCAGAACAGCGTGAGAACTCCTCAAACTCCTCTTTCATGCCAAAATTTATAAATATAAAAAAAATTAAGGTCGTTAGATATCTGTTTGTTTTTAGCTGACCTGCCAAAACAATAAACTGCTTTGTTCAACTTTTTAGCACTTGTACAATTAGTACTACTAAACTTATTTAAATAAAAAGCACTTTCAGGTGAAATGTTTTGTTGATCAGACATTTTATATTGATTTTATGATGAAAATAACTTCTTTTTATTCTTTTGCTATTTTTATTTATTTCCCATCTAAGAATATAGCAGTAAAATGTGAAAAATAAATGCAATAAATTCAATAAAATAATCATAACAGGCTGTTATTAATATACTAACATAAATTCACTTCCTTCTCACTATAGAATTCATTTTAAGTATTAAAAACGGAATTAACGTATTTGCAAAGTTGATATAAAGCAAAGTAGATATATATGAAATGTAGGATAATAAAAAATTAATTGCTTGATGAGCAGCCGTGGCGCAGTGGTTAGAGTTCTGGCTCAGAACCCAGAGGTCCGAGGTTCGACGCCAGCTATAGCCCAACAAGTGACATTGGTACGGAAGAAGGCGTGAACTTCCTATTAAATGCTCTCCCGCGGTGCTCTATGATAAGACCGTAAGGACTTTTGGGAGCACCTAAATACATAAACAAAAAAAAAAAAAAAAAATTATGGAAAATTAGCCCAAAAGTAAAGATTGTTTATTGATGCTATGCGGTTGCTAAGGGTTTCTTTTTAAGATCGTACTTCTAAATTAACATTTTTTGTCACTAAATTACTTAAAAACATAGTAAAACTATATATTTTTGAAATCTACCATGATTCTATTTTTCAAATTTAGAAAGAAAAAAAAAAATCTGAAAATTTTAAAATTTGTTGGGCTAGTACCACCTTAAAATCTTAATCAAATTTGGAAGAGCGATTGTGATTTTAAGTAATAAAAAAAAAAATCTTCGGTCTGGGTTTTTTCATTACAAACATTTATATTATAAAATACCGCAAAATTTATCATTTTAATTTTTTTCGTCTTTTCATAATTCACAGACCTGACCATTTAACGGAATGTCTTAATCAACAAAATATTATACAGACGCTATAATATTTAAAAAGTGCCTTAACTGCACCAATAATTAAAGAGTTGTTTACTTCTGAAAAATAGTTTTCAAAGATACACCCATAAAAAAATAATAAAAAATTAACAATCAACGTGTAAAACAACGTGAAAAAAAAAAAATAATAATAATAATAAAAAAGACTATATGTTATCTTCCTAAAAAATATAACAACTACATAGAAATCGTGCACGTTAATCAAGGAAATTGAGAAGGGAAAGAAGGTTGCGTAATTTGAGTGCGGGAAGATTTTTAAAAATATAATACATTGAGAGATTAACCTGTTTTTTTTATAGTTGTCTGGTCAGTCATCCGAAGCATAAAATATTTAAAACTTTGCCTATGCATAATAAATTTTGTTGTTGTTTATTATTGTTTCCAAATTTTTTTGACAAATAGTTTTAAGCTTTATTCTACTTTCATGTTAAATTTTCAATTTTTTAAATAAAATTAAAATTACAGGTTTACCGAAAACCTGGAAGAAGGGAAAGGGAATACAACAAAACGTATCCTTTTGTTTAAACTTAAGTAATTAACTATGTTGTTATATAAAGATTTTAAAATTTAATTTCAGGTTGTGTTATGTTAATGCAAGAGAAAACTGATCTTACTAAATAAAAATAAACAAAAACCAAATAAAATAATAATTTAAAAAATTATAAAAATTTGCTTGCAATAAAAATAAGCAAAACGAATAACAAAAACCGTTGTTGAAACCGTTAGTCGGAATCATCTGAACTCAAAACAAAAACAACATTTTTAGAATCAGAAATGATAGCATTTGGTGGAGAAGTGTTGTTTAAAACAATTTTATCAGATTGCTTCAACTGACTGTCTGAGTCTAAAAATTGAAATGGTTTTTCTAAACTTATATTTAGTTTTGCTTTTAAAAGTTTCACACGATCTTTGGCAACACGATCCATATTTGTTAGCCTTTGATTAGACCCGACTTTTTCATCATCAGTCATTGCTTTAAACTGAGTGCTCTTTTCGTAATTTGCAACCTGTGATTTACAAATTGATACAGTACTGTATCTGTGTGGACAACATATTGGATCAATTGGAATATATTTAGTTTTTAGAAGAGGATTATCACAAGATGTAATTTCATCTAATATATTAGTATTTGTAGATATAGTATTACACGAATGCCTTGAAGACATCTGTAATGGATTAACTGAATTAAAAGAACTAAAGTCTGTGTCACATTTAGCATTTATATGGAAATCATTTACTTGCTTGTCATTTTCTGGTACAATATATTCTGAAGATCTTTTTAAATTTAAAGATTTATTGTTTATTTTTATTATGTCTGATTGCTTATTGTTTGTGGCTCCTGTTGGATTGCCTATTGTAACACCAATCTTTTTGCCAAATAATGGTTCTTTTTTTGATACAGTAACTCGTATAACTGTCTCCTCAAGACAATCTTTTGGACTTCTTCCAATTTTAATAACTTCTCCATTAGTACTTTTAGAATAAAGCTTTTGTTTTGAATTATCAAAGTGAGATTCATGGTCATCACTTTCTTCATCGTCTGTTTTACATATAGCTTCATTGGATGAACCCAATGCTTGTTGTTCATATTGCTGTCTCACAAAATCTTGGAAAACATTTTCTATTCTTCGTTTAGCAAGTTTACGGTTTTGCTTTAATTTTCTATTTAAAATTGCATCTTCAAGGGCAGGATCTTCCTCAATTTTAACACGATCAGTTAAATAGTTACCAGAAATTTCATTAAACTCTTTTTTCCGATTAATTTGTAATTTTTTTCCTACCTCCACAAATATATCAACTGCTATATTATGTAAATCATTTTCTCGAACATTTATATCATTATTATCAACAGCTTTTTTACAAATTTGTTTTATATCTGATAAATTTGGAAAGATGTTATGTTTGTTTATAAACCTTTCAACTGATCGATTTAATTCTGGAAATGGGGCACTTGTAACACATACCCTTTTTCTTTTTATGATTTTATCAGGATTTTCACCAATCAGTTTGCAATACTTGCGCCATAACTTAAGAAACTCTTCCTTTAATCTGGCCTCTTGAATATAAACACTTTCTTCTGACTTCATGTCTTCCAAACTAATATCCATTTCTGCCAAATGCTTTATTTGACGCTCTTTTCTTTCTAATTGATTTACTAAACTTTTAATCTTTAATTTCCTATTAGATTTTTTATTTTTAAGGTGAACTTTTTCTGAAAAAGAGTTAAATGTCTTTTTTCTATTATTATCATCATCATCATTATCATCACTGTCTTCAATAAGTATTAGTGGTGCTTCAGCACTGCAAGTAGAGTTATTTATTGGTAAAGAAACTGATGGAACTGGTGAAAGAACAACACGAGAATCAAAATTATGTATTGAATGTGGTAAATAAAATGCAGAAGTTTTGGTAGTAGTTTGTGACTCGTTTAGATTTGCCAGTTCATTATTACAAGCTATGTTATTGAATACTGCTGATGAAAAAAGTTCATTAGATTTGGAAACTTTTGTAGGTGAAAGTTGTTCTGGAGCAATAACTAGTGGATTTTGCACATTTTTAAGTTCTTGTTTATTACTTTCTTTAAGTAGAGTAGATGAAGCAACCCAGGTATTTCGCCAACTCTCATCTTCTGAAAAATCAACTTCATCGCATTCTGAAAACAAAAATTACCAATATAAAATTAAAACAAAATTTTATATATAAATATAAATATAAATATAAATATATATATATATATATATATATATATATATATATATATATATATATATATATATATATATATATATATATATAAATATATATTAGGGTGTTTCTTATTTTTGAAAATTCGATTTTTGCATGGGCCACCCTGCCATTTGGTTCATTATCATAAAAAAGTAATACCCTATTTATTTATTTATTGGATGATTTTTAGGAGTCACTACCGACCCTACAGTATTGCGCAAGTGTACCCTAAAAATGCTTTAATTTGCATATGATGTTATGCAACAAAAGTGGTTGGTGTTTAGCGTACAAACCTCTTTTAACTAGTAATTTTTTTACTATAGCGTGCAGAATTGTGTCTATAATGCTCAATTGTTCCTTTTGCAGGTTAAACTAGTGTAACTACTGTACAGTGATGGCTTCATCAACCAGTACAACGATAGCTACCAGAAAGAAAACTGAGATATGGCTTATTTAGACAGACGTCCTCTTCTTTAGATAGTGTTATGCTTCCATCAAAAAGGAAAGTGTTGGCTCTTTTTTTCCATTACAAGCAGATTGCCAAGCAAAGCATTAGAGAAGCATTACATTCCGCAGCAAATGTTTTTGAAGTTTGGTCAAAGGCCCGAATACCTGTGCAATTAAAGAAGCACGTTGTCCCTAAAATCGAAAATATTTACAAGGAATGGGAAAAGTTTAAGAAAAATAAAGAGAATAAAGCTAAGCGTTCAGATTATTTTAAACAAAAGGAAAACCAATGAAATGAAGATTTAGAAAAACTATTCAATATTGCCTATGCCAACGCATTGGAAATGATCACCATTCAGGAGGATAAGGACTTCCTATTATGCCAAAATAATAGGCAAAATGAGTCCAGTCGATTGAAATTGGCAAAACAAGATGTATCAAGAAAAAGACAAAAAGAAATTAACCGAAAAAGGGATCGAGAAGATATGGCAAGAAAATCTCGAGAAAAACAGTTGTTCTTTCATCATCATCTGAAGGTGAAGATAACCCTAAAGAAGAAAGCATAACTCAAGAAGATGCCTTGCCTGGTAACCAAGATGACCCTGAGCCATCAACTTCAGGTACATTGGCTCCAAAGCATCCTAGACGTGGCAGGAAAAATATACTGAATGAGAAGTTGGCGGCTAATTTAGATGTGGCTAAATTGAGTGATTGTGAGGCACTTGTGTTAACACTGGTATTACAACTTCTTGGTCATTATCCAACAGAATACAATGTTAATCCAGCTTCCATTTGAAGGGAACGAATAAAACACCGCAAGAAGATAGCAGAAGGTTTAAGGAAGGAATTCAAACCAGAAGTTCCTTTATGTATTCATTGGGATGGAAAATTACTCGCTGACATCACCGTTAAAGAAACTGTTGACCGACTTCCAATTCTAGTATCTGGAGTAGGAGTGCAGTCAACAACATTGCAGAACGTAGCACTAATGGACGAATATAATAGACTACATACAAATAACGAAGAGCAAAAAAATCTAATATATATATATATATATATATATATATATATATATATATATATATATATATATATATATATATATATATTGTAAATATATGTATAACAGTCCAAAGATATATATAGTATAGTCTAAAGAGACTTAATGGTAAAAAAGTTTCTTTATTTTAAAAAACATCAATAATTAAGCAACATTTTTATGTGATTTAATAAAAACAATTTTAAAAATGTACATAAGTTTTATCATTTTTTTTAAAACCGCAACAATTATGATTTAAAAGTTTTTTTATTTAATGGTTTTTTTATTTTTGTTTTATAATATTTTTAAAACATGCGAGGTGTTACTACATAGACTTTTACTACAACATCAAGTGTTACTACATCGACTGACAAATCGGTAAAACATGCAAGGAGTGTTGCTACATCAACTATCTTATAGCCTGCTGCTACAAGAAAGTGCTGCTACATCGACTATCGACTTCTGCTACATTGACTAACTAGCCTGCTGCTACAAGGGAGTGATGATGTATCGACTAAAAGTCAGGTTTAGGAAAGAAATTTGGAAATTTGTTAGTGGTAGTGGTGTAATGGTAGAGCGCTCGCTTCATAAGCGAGAGATTCCAAGTTCTGGTAATGTCTCTGGTAATACCGCGCTTAACTTGTTTCTCCGCATAGTGGCTTTGTTTGTCAAGGTTTGTGTTTCAGAATTGAGAGAGGGTTGTAGCCACAAGTAGCCTCCTCATCAGTTATTTTTATTAAATAATATATTATTAAATAAAATTTTTAAATATTAATTATTAAATTAAATTAAAATAAATTATTAAATAAAATTTTTATTAAATAAAAAAAAAATAGGGATTTTATTGATAAATAAAAAGCATTAAACAAATTATAATCAATTTTTCTTTAAAATTGTAATAAATTTTTTTTGATTTATAATTTTCTGCCCCAGGGCTCCAAACGAGACCACTACATTCAAGAAGGATTAGATGCAACTTTCTCAACCCTAAACTTGGAAACATGAACCTTGTAGAACAAGGTCATTATGCAGAGAAACAGTTGGAGTGTGGTACCTTCAGAGGCATAGGGGGAGTTAAAACTCAAATCTCTTGATTGCGAGTGTTCTACCACTAGTCTGCTCTTACATTACTAAAATCATTACAAACATTTTTCTTATAAATATTTGGTAACTCCCTTTTTTGTCTCTACAACAGCCAGATCCCTTTTTACCATACTTTGTAAGCAGTTTTCTGCCACTACCTGCAGTTTTTGATTATGACTTCAATTTTTTAAATTAAATACACTTTATTTGTAATTTTTTTTTAGATATTTTGTTCTTAAGGATCTCCCACACATTTCTATAAGACTTAGGTCAGGAGAGTTTCCTGGTCAATCCAGTAATGGAACAATTTGTGGGGGGATAGCTCAGAGTAGGGGGATAGCTCAGATGGTTAGAGCATTAAAGGAAAAAGTTAAAACCCGGACTGTTGAACGATACGAGTTCAAATCCCGCCACTGCCAACTCAGCGCTTGAGTAGTACTTCGGTACGCAAAAATGTTGGTCAATAACAGACGCTACTTTGAATTAGTCTTAATGACTATTTGTGGCTGTTCCTATGCTAAGCCAACAATATCTTCAGATATAAGAACATTGTATAGAAAAATATAGCATGAAAACTCAAATAAACAAATAATCAAATAAATAATCTATTATATTGAATATTTTAAAATTAATTTAGTGGTATTATAGTGCTCCATCTTGCACAATTAAATTTCTTTTACCTGGATCAAATCATTATACCAATTGTAGCAACAATCTTTATTCCAGGACTTGATAATATTGCAACAGGCAGATTATTCTCTTGACAACGTAAAGGCTCTGCATTCTTAAATACCACCAACCAGATCATTCATGCATCAAGTTTTCTTTGTTAGTACCCAGAAAGTAGTCTTGTTTCTCAACTCAAAATATATTAGGATGGTTATATTAGGATGAATACTTTTTAATTAATATTACATCTAAATTAGTTTTATTGATTCCCAATTACATTCATTAAAAATTCTGTATATTCTGTACATTAAAATTTTTATGTACATTCCAGCCTTTTTAGCATAATTTTTTGTTTTATTTAGACTTCTTAGTTGGGCAATGTAAACTGTAACCAAGATTATGCAGACAACATTAACTCTATTTGATATTTTGATACCAGATGGGTCCAATGTTTCAGTTATTGTATTGTTGGTGGAATGTCTATTTTTTAGGAAAATCTTGGTGTTTTTTTCACCACAGGGTGTTAGAATTTTTCACATTTACCAACCCTCTTGGGTGTCAAGTTTACCATACTTATTTTTTTATCTGTACATTTTATTCAAAAACTTGCAAAAGAGTACTCTGATTTTAGCAATTTTTGCTGGTGACTTTTTTTTTACCATTATCTAAAGTAAAGATTTCATTACCACATATAAACACATTTTATTATCACAGCTAAGACTTTGCATAAATACTTATAACTTTGAAAACATCCCATAAAATAAAATATTTTTACCTTAAAATAAAAAGAAATATTCAAGATACAATATTTTCATTGATTTAAATATTTACTTTAAAAAACTATTTAAAAATACTTAAAGCAATTATGTGACCATTCCACTGCTTTGCCCATACCAGCTTAGAGAGTAATGCTGTCAACTCATTTTCGATTATGCCTATAATTTTACTGTCATTGACATACAGATTCAGTGGTGTTGTTCAGATGAATGTGGTGTGGTTCGGTGGTGTGGTTCAGATGAGTGGTGCTGTCTGGCAGATCATTTATGAAGAGCAATGGGTCCAAGACAGAGCCTTGAGGCAAGCAATGAGTGACTGCTTTCCACTTTTCAGATGTAATGTTGTTGATGACAATTTACTGACTTCAGTTGAGAAGCCAAGCTGAGATCCAGTCTATGAATGCACCTTAAATACTGTAACCTCTTTACTTGTGAAGAAGGCATTTTTATGACTTTATGTCAAACCTCTATGCAAATTCTGCGTAAATAACATCTACTGCATGACCCCGATGAATTGCTTCTGTCTTAATGTCTTAAGCTTCTAGCAGGTTTGAGATACAGCCTTTGTGATGAAACGATTAGGACCTCAGTGTTCTATTAATGTGAGCTAAACAGACAGTTAGTTTGATGCATTTAGTTTACTGCCCTTCTTAAAATTAGGATATCATTCAATTTTCTGCACAATTCAGGAATTAAGCCAGTCACAAATGCGCATTTGTAGATCAGCGAAAAAGGATTTGTGAAGGTAGCTGCTTATTTAACAAAGGCATGCAAATGTCGTAGCCTGTTGATTTTGTCTCATTTGTTGTAGCCTGTTGATTTTGCCTCAAGGTGGTTGAGGAATTTTTGTACTTTATCGATGAAAAACCTTGCTGAATCAATGTCACAAATTGCCTGAGGACGAGTTTTAAA